GGACCCCAACAAAGCCCTGTTCACAAGCATGTGCTTCCTACCCACCCCCTCTTTCTAGGCAGTCAAGGCAGGTGAGGATGCTGAGACCCAGAAAGGGCTGAGGGGAGACTTTGCCAAGCTGCCCAGCTAGCCCTGGGCAAAAGCAGATTCGGGACTGGAAGTCAGGCTTCTGGGTCCCTGGCCTCTGGTAGACAGGAACCTAGGGGCCAGGCAGTTCTTCTGGAGCAAGTGCCCAACTCCGAAATTCTGGATAAGGTGCTGCCCAAGGTCACGCTGCCACAGGGGGGAGTGCTGAGGGTCATCAGTTCCCGGGTAGGCCCTGTGGATTGTCTGCGTGCGCGCATGTGTGTCAAGTCACTTCAGTCGTGTCTGACTCTTTGTGATCCTATGGACTGTAGCCCGCCAGTCTCCTCTGCCCATGGGATTCTCCAGGCAAGAATACTGGAGTGGGTTGCCATTTCCTTCTCTAGGGGATCTTCCTGACCCAGGAATTGAACCAGTGTCTCTTCTATCTCCTGCATTGGTAGGTGGGTTCTTTACCACTAGCGCCACTTGGGAATCCCATGGGTTGTGTAGGCAGCTAACCTGAGCTGAGAACGGAGCCAGCTTTGAGACTGCCCTGGCCAGTTAGTGGCTCTCTGAATCTGAACAAGTGACTTGACCTCCCTGAGCCTGTTATTCCATCTATAAATTGGGGACAATGATAGCTGCCCTGTCCACTTCTCAAGGTTAGACTGAGGCTTAGTGAGGATAATGTTACCTCCCACTAGGGAGCTCACACATGAGCCAGGCACGGTGCCCAACACTTGACCTGCATCATGGCATTCCATCCTGGCCATAGCACTCAGAAGAAGCCAGAGGATTCTGTCCACAGGGGAAATGGGGCTCACTGAGACACCAGCTTTCAGGTTTCACAGAGAAGTGAGTGGTGGTGTTGGGAGTTGAGCCCTGATCTAACTTCAGGCTTCCCCTTACACAGACAGCCCTCTGCTAGTGTATCTATGGTCAGACAGCATGGCACAGGAGCCAGCTCGTAACAAGTTGATTAGCTGCTTTTAATTCTAGACCTTGCTGCAGAATGGGAGTCCTCCCTTTGGGCCCCAGACAAGGGTTCAAGGGCTCTGTTGGAGGGCTTGCTGAAGCTCCACGTGAGAAAGGCTTCCATGGCCCACCATCTGCTTTTATAAACACAGTTTTGTAGCACAGCCACTGTGGTTCATTCACATTTTGTCTATGGCCACTTTTGCAGGACTTGGGACAGAGACCTCATGGCCTGCAAAGTCAATTTACAGGAAAAGTTCACTGATCCCTGATTTGAAACATTCAAGGAAATGTCCTAGATGCCCTTCTGGCCTTTGACTGAAGTCCAAGGCAACAGTCAGGAGTGTCCTTCTCTGAGCACTGGCCAGTATGTAGGGAAAATTGGTTTTTCAAAGGAACCCTGGAGAGACCTTCCATTTCAGGGGTTCCAGAAAAATTCTGGCTCTGTCAGCAGCCCCTTCTAGGATAAGAAAAGAAGGTAGTTAAGTCTTCTCCACCATGCCCTTTGGCAGTCAGCTGAGAGAGGTTCACTCTATTCAGAAATTTGGAGTTGAGAAATTTCAGTTGAATAAACTTCAGACCTGAAGAATAGAATTCTATAAGCACCTTGGAATGACCAGCACCAGTTAGCAGTACCGAGTTAGCCAGGGCTTGTGGGAGAATCTGAAATGTTACACATCTAAGTGGCTATGGCTCATTTTATACCACACCTGGGGTCCTGAGAAGCCTTGCATAGCCTGAGTCTGTTTACCTCCCTAGTCTCTGCCTTTTGGGGACTGTCTGATTTCTAGGTGGATTTGAAGAACTGTTGTTTTTCAGGTTCATCTGCCACACCCCCTCCCCACGCCCTTCCACGTCTTGGTCCAGTAGTAATCAGTGAACAAAAAGTGAATTCCTTTTCCTTTTTTTTTCTCTTTTTCAAAAACAACCCCCCTACTCTGATTCTATTGTATTTGCTTGGTCAAGATATCTCCAAAGGGCGGCAACCCTTATGTCCTACCTTCTTTGGGTTTGATGTCTAATTATACTTACAGATGGCGTCCCAGGTGGATAAAAAGAACCCATCTGCCAATGCAGGAGATGCAAGAGACACAGGTTCGATCCTTGGGTTGGGAAGATCCCCTGGAGGAGGGCATGGCAACTCACTCCAGTATTCTTGCCTGGAGAGTCCCATGGACAGAGGAGCCCAGCAGGCTACAGTCCATAGGGTTGTACAGAGTCGGATATGATTGAAGTGACTTAGCACACAGGCACGCCTATCTTTACAGAAAGCCACCAGCTTTACTTCTCATTGTCTGGTCCAAGGAGACCAGACTTACCACCACCCACTAGCATCCAGTGATGACATATGCCTGGAGGACTCCGGTAGCTACTCCCCTTCCTTATCCCCACCTCCACTGTCCACCATCCTCCTGCCAACTTTACCAAACGCAACTGGGCCTTCTGGGGCCAGTGTTAGCTGGTCAGTCTCCATTAGCCTTTCTTTGATTCCACCAGTCCACACCACACCATCTATTTCAAGTGCACTTACTGGGGTTTAAGTACATTTTGTACTTAAGTCTTCTCTCTAATTAGGGGATCTTTCATAGTACTATAGAAAGAGTTCACATTCTAGAATTCAAAGTCCAGATTCTAGATTCACTTACTGGCTCTGAGCCTTTGGGCAAGTTCTCTTAGCCTGTTTTCTCATTTGTAAAATGGGGGATCTGTGTTGTCCAGTTAGGATAATAAAAAGAGTTGATATTTTTTCAAAGAGCTCTGTAAACTGTTAAAGGGCCACACACTTACGGGTCAGTATTAAGTTGTCCTGTCCTGCCACCACCCACCCCCTCCTTGGTTTCATGTGAAATTAGAGCTTTGGGGGTGATTAGGGAGGTAACAGACCAATCAGCATGAAGCCAGCCCACCCCAAACCTCCTTGCCTAAAACCAGCTCCTTTGACGACCAGTTTGCCTAAAAGTCAAAGTAGTAATTTTGAAAGAAGGCATTTTGTACCAATTTTCCTAAGAGGCACTTCCAACATAAGGTCGTTTTTTAAAATCACTGTCACAATCGGCAACATTTTGTCAATGATAAGATTGTTGTGTATGCTGGTGGGTGGTGTTTTCTATTTCACCTTTCATAAAGCAACTTTATGACTTTTTAGCAAGTGTCTCAAGACCCTTTCTTCAAATTGTATATTTCTAGAACTAAATAAAACTAATAAAATAAAACTAAACTAGAACCTGTCAAATCTGTAGAATTTCCCACAAGACTTATTGAAGACACCTTTTGGATCACTCCTGTCTCCTCTTCGCTGGGTTTTACTCTGGATTGTGTATGCCTGTGTGCACCTAATGAGCTGATTAACCAAATTAGCATGTACCCAACATTCCTTTCTGTTCTCCAAGATATTGGCATTTTGACAACAAGCGTGAAGAAGTGAGACAGATGGGGCAGAATTGCATCGAACTCCTTGCATTGAACTCCTTGCATTTTATTTCTCAGGCTATCTTGTGCATCAAGCAACTCTACTTTGTGAGACATAAAATGATACATACAAAGTCATTATCAAATGTATTTATTGCAGGAAACAGAACATTTCTCAAGAAAGGCAAACTGGCTAAAAAGTCCCAGGAGTGTTCAAAAGTAGATAAAAATAGAAGAAGGCACGCACCAAGGATATAAAACAATTTTTAGTAGAAATCCCACCTTTAATCAGAATGTTCTTAAATAAATTTTTTTAAAGTCCTTTAAAGGACACTGCACACAACAATTAGGACACTCAAACAGATGTCAACACACTTAAAACTGGACTGCATGTTATGTCAACTGGTCATTAAGCATAGCAATTCTTTTTGTGAGTTTTTGGCAAATTAGTTAGAAGCCATCTGACCTGGAACCGATATAGAAGGCAGGCACTTCAGTCCCTGTGCGTGAAGTTCATGGGCATGGGGGGTGGGAGGGACCAGGGACCTCAGGGGAAAGGTGTGCCCCTCCTGAACGTGACCTCCAAGAGTAAGGGCGAATTGTCAGCTTTTCACTCTTTATTATAAAGACATATTTACACTGAACAATCTTTACAAACACAGTGAACACAACTAGGGAAAGGGGATGCTTTCTTAATGAAAAGGGCCTTAATAACTTTGTATAAATTAGTCTAAGAATCATACACAACCACTTTAAATAAGACAGCCCCTCAGCACCCCTACTGCTCGTGTCCCCAGACTTTCCCAGCCATCCCTTTCCGTCTCGTTCCCCACAGGGCTGGGCAACTGACGCAACCGGAGAAGCAGAGAGGAAGAGGGGGAAACGGCCCAGGCCCTGGTGGGGGCGTCCATGGCAGAAGAGGCTTTCTGGACACTGGTCAGTCCCCACTCCAGGCTGAGAGGCATTGGGGGGTCAGCGGGTGCCCAGCCTGGCTCCCCAGGGTGGGCCTTGAAGCAGCAGCAGAAGCAGCAGTAGCGTTAGCAGCAGTGGAGGGAACGGGAAGGGTTCGGGTGTAGGTGAAAGGGATTTGCTGTGGGACTCGGGGGGCCCTGACTCCCCCTTCTCCCACACATACAAGGGTGGCCATCAGGCTCCTGTCTTCCCTTTTCTCCTTCCCAGGCCTCTCAGAAGAAAGCCTGCTGAGATCCACACTTCCTCCCATCTTTCCTCCCTTCCTCCCCACCTTTCTTTCCTCTCTCCTTTCTGTCTCCCCCCTCCCCAAGGAAAGGCCACTGGAAGATAAAGTCCTGTTAACATGAAGGGAAGGCTGTTGAGTCCAGTTGGTTAAGGCCACCTCCTGGCTCCTGGGGGTCTCGGTGCCTGAGCTGCTGCTATGAAAATACCTGGGGTCTGCAATTGTCACAGGAATGGGAGTGGCTGGCCAGCCACAGAACTTCCTACGCCAGGTTGGGGAATGGACCCGAGGACAGGGAGGCCGGGACAGCTCCGTCCCACCATGGGGCAGCTCACAGCCAGCTCCCTCTCCCTTCCTAGGCACCCCGAGCCCCAACCCAGGGAGAAAGGCACTTCATGGCTTTGGAAAGCCTCATCAAGAAGGAAGAGGACGTCCTCACGTGGGAGCGGGAGACCTGAGCCCTCATTCTGGCTCTGGTGACACTGAGCAGGTCACCATCCCCCCTCCAGGCCTCTGCTTTTTTGCAGGAGTTTGCATAAGGAGGTGGAGCTAAGTGATCTCCAAGGTGCCTTTTGGCTCTGATAGTCTGTGATTCTTGGCAAAACCAAGTGTCCTGCTTGGCTTTCATTCCTGGGAGGGTACAGAGCCACCTCAGGCCCATCTCCTCCCCTCCAGGGCTGGAGCTGAAACTAGCTGGGGTAGGGGGAGAGCGACAGTCAGGCAGCGCAGCAAGGTGGTGAGAGAAGTGACAAAGTATCCATAACAGCTTTATGGAAAGCCCGAGCGAACTTCTTGGCCAACCCCGTACAGCATGGCCCCTCTCCTTCACCTCTTCCTTAACTGGGCCAAATGCGGGGAGGAGGAAGACACCATAGTAGCTATTCCTCTCTTCTCTGGTGCTTCATCTCCTCCTTGACCAGAGCGCCAAGCCCCCATTCCCATGCCCCCCAAGGCACTCTGTCTGCCAGCCAACACCCCATCCCTCCCCCCTCTCACTAGAGTCTCTCATTGCTCGGCTCCCTGGGCCCCTCTGGCAGCCAGGGGAAGGCTGATGCCCTAGTTGAAGAAGGGAGGGTTCCACCCAGCCCGCAGGGCATACCTGAGGCAGGAAGGGCCAGAGAAGGGTTAGGCATTAGGGTATCAGACAGAAGAGGTAGGGCTTAGAGCAGGGGAGGACTGGCATTCCAGCGCGAAGTCTCCCAAGTCAGGAATCAGGGGCTGAATGGATCCTTGATGGGAAGGCAGGTGGGGGAGGAGAGCCAGCTGGTGAGCAGCTAGAAGAGGGGCCAGGTGAGGCAAACGGCTGTGAGGGCTCCAGAGAAGCAGGCCGATCTACAGAGGAGTAGAGAGAAATCGCAGGGGGTGGGCGCGTGGTGGCCCCTTCGGTCCTAAAGAGACAAAATGACCAGAGAGGAGTCACTGATGTGTCCTAGTTCAAAGAAACCTCCTGGGGTGGGACAGAAGACCACCTTCACCCTGCTCCGTGCAAGCCTGAACCTAAAGCCTCAGGCCCCTGAGCTGGTGCCCCTGTCCTGGAGACAGGGGGAAAGACAGCAGGTCACCTCTAACCTCCCCTCCCATAGCTCCAGGCAGCTCTCTTCCTGTCTTCTGACTGCGGCTACCCCCAAAGCTCCCTACCACCTTCTCCGCCTCTGGTGAGGATCCACACCCACACACATACCCTGGGGCACCGCCGCCCCCCGCAGCTTATTAAAGCACCCCCCACTCCTGAGTCTTCCAGAACACTCCACCTGGGCCAGCCAGCCCAACTCTAGGCAGCCGGGCAGACGGGAGCCAGCACCTGACCCCTGGGGGAGCGCCAAGCCCCTCTCCAGCCTCGGCCGCCTGTCTGTGAGCCCCAGGGTTCTGTGTGGGGCTGGGACTGCCTGGGGCAGGTCTCTGGCCAGCAATCAGCAGCAGGGCCACCCAGCTTCCAGACTGTTCCTCCCCTGCCCCCTCTGTGCCACCCACTCACCAGAGGCTCAAGTACCTGCTTCAGAAAGGCATGGGGCCCTTGTGGGAGAGGCGTGGCCGCTGGCGCCGGAACTTCCTCCGACCTCCCTGCCAGGGCCCTGGGCCGCTCCTTGGCCCCCTGGGCTGCACCAGGTAGCGGATGGTGCCTTCTTCCATCTCCTTCCCGTCAGAAGTCTGCAGCAGGGGTCCTGTAGGAAGAAGAAAGCTGGGGTCAAGCCAGTCATCCCCAAAGGCTGATGCAGAAGGGCCGGGCCCAGGGGAGGGGCAGTTTCCCCATGAGGTGGCGCTCTCATAGCTTGTCTTTTTCAATCCATGAACCGATGAACTGTTTGCAACGATTACACTGTTCTGGGGCAAATGGAACCCACGACTCACATCGTGTGAATTATACACCTGACTTTATGTCCTTTTGAGAGTCTTATCATGTTTCTGATGGGCACAAATACATGTTCTGTGTTCAGAACGTCATCAAGAGGTGCAGTTTGGGGTATACCTCCCACTGCACCCTGGCAACTGATAGACTGAAAACATTTTAGACACACCATGTTTCAATGAAATGAACTCCCCCCATCACGTGGCCATCACCTAGATTCAACAGTGATGCAGACGGAGTTACATACGCTTTGGTTCTCCTGTTTCTTTCTTTGTGGAGGTATTCTAAAGCAAATCTGGAACATGATGTCATTGTACATCCTTTGATACGCAGGTGACCCGCTTTTGAGTCCTAGAGCTCTCAGACCTCCCCCCTGGGGATCTCATCAATGTCTAGCCATCTTGGGGCTCACTTGCTCCCGTGACCTCCTGGTGGGTGTGACTGGGGGACTGCTGGGGGGGGGGGCAGTCTCTGATTCTCTGTGTCAGGGGGGCAGGGTGGTCTCTGACTCTGCCTTATGCTGGATTCTATTCAGGCTGTGACCAGATTCAGAGGCCAATAAATATTGTACAAATGAAATGAATGAGTAAACAAATGAGTGACCGTCACCTGAAGCAGCAAGTGCATCGGGAAGGGGGCTGGGCTGCTAGAGTTGCCCCCCTCACCACAACCTCTTTTCATCCCCAGATCATACCCCCATCCTGTGTCTGATGCACATTCCTTCTATTCTGATCCCAGTTAACTTCTTTTCTGCTCTAGGGGCTCCCCTCTACATCTGTGCAGAGTAGAAACCTTCTGATGCCAGAGCAAGCCCTGCCAATAGAATCCAAGTGGTGCTGGGTGTTCCTGGGTGTGATGAGGGACAAGACCCATGGGCCACCTCTCATGGAGGCTGATGTCCAGCCAGGGCAGGCAAGCTGGCATGCCACAGGCAAGCCAGCTACCAGAGGCCAGCAGAACGGGGAGTGGTGACAGTGCTGGGCAAGAAGCAGGCCAGCAGAGTGCTGGGCAACGCCAATGATGGGGCTGCTCCGGGCAAATACAGTTTCTGAGGCTAGCGATCGTGAATCCCAGTCTCCCTCTTCCCACACCAGCAGGAGACCTGTTTCTATCCATCCAGAGTCTCCACCACTAGCTCACAGTTTCCATATAACCGCCCCTTGGCTGCCAGTTGCCCCATTATACCCCTGGCGGCTCTTCCTTTCCTTCCTCCCTGCCTCCAGCATCCCCATGCTCCAGTTCCTTCCTTGGCTAGTTGGCTTTTGTGATTCCTCCTCCACTTGCACACAATTTCCAGGCATTTATCCTCCTCTTAGGCCAGAAGCAGGCGAGGTCTGTCCTGAGGGCCCTCCCTGCCCAGGCCCCTGGGGCCTGCCGCTCTCCAGCTCTGGCCCAGACACACATGTGCACACTCTCTAGCCCTCCACCCTCCCTCCCGGAGAAGAGTCACAAGCCCATTAGGACTTCTCTGTTTACCAGCCACTCTGCATGCTTCTGGTTGGGGGTGGGTTAATGTGGTCCCCTAAGCCCAGCACCTAATGTAAATCCAAACACAAACTGTCTTCGCACTTTGGAGAAGTAGAGGCCAGGAGGCTGCTTGCTCCTATCGTGGGGCTACCTTCTGCAAAGGGGCTGGAACGTGTGTAGGGACAGGAGGGAAGCCCCTTCACTCAGCCCCCCACCCCAGCTGCTTCAGCTTCTGCCCTGTGCTTTGGAGCCCCCTCAAGGCTGTCCTGCCCTCTGCAAGAGGATAGGGATGATGCTAACGAATAGTACCAGAGAAACTCTCGGGGCAAAAAGGACTGTGCTGAGTGTGTGGCCCAGGCACACAGAAGCACCCTAAGGACCATTAAGGTCTCAATAAGTGAGGTCGTGATTCTTGCGTCTGAAGGGTGACCAATGGCACAGGCTATGGTTCCAGGAACAGCAGGCATGAGAAGAGAGGCACAGTGCTCAGTTGGGAAGGGTAGCATCTGCAAATGCTCAGACCCAGGGCTGTAAGTGGTGGTGGCAATCAGGGAGGGAAGCCTGGTGGGGGAGGCCCCTAAGAGGGAGGGAGGCCCAGATCCAGGATGAGGAACACGGCTGGTGGGCTCAGACTCTAGCCAGGGAGATGTCTAGACACTAGGGCTGCAGAGAAGAACTACCTAGGCTGACCAAGCTCTCAGCCAGGCCCTGGAAAGCAGTCACCCAGAAGCCCCAGGCATCTTGCACCCCACCGGATGGGGGGCTCACTGTCCTCCTCATAGCCAGAAGTTTGCAGTTCCTCTCCCACCCTGATCCCATCACCCACTTGTTTCCTACTTTTGATTCTGAGTCTGGTTCACCCAAAGATAAGCTGACACCTGAAACCCAGGCTTTGTCCTGTCTAAAGGGGCCAATCAGAGGCTTTTGATTCTCATCACTGCAGAGGTCCTGGCTACACAAGAGAAATCCCCTGTAGAAATTGGGGCCATCCCCAGTGAACTTAAATATTTTCCTCTAACTCATCTGCTACCTAAAGGAAGGCTAGGGCAATCCAGCCAAGAGTCACAAGCCTACAGGGACCGAAGTGCCATCAGCATCTCCACTGTGAACCAGTCAGGGGTAAACGGGGCTTGCTTTTCACACCACATGAACTCCAACCCTGCCAGCGCACAATGAGGTGTGTGCACTTTTCAGGAACATGCCATCCTCACTTGGAATGAAGTATCTTTTTTCTTTCTTCTTACCATCCAGCCTGTCTTGTGATGGCTTTAAAAGCCCACACAAGTGGCACTGGCTGTGTCCCCTCCACTGCTCTGGGGTCCTGCATGTGTCTCCGGGATGAGGTGCCCCTCCTCTTTCTGCCCAGCCCCATGCTCTGAGCCGTCTTCCCATGCCAGCCAAGCCACTGAAGACCCCTGCCCTGGCAGCCCTGCTCATCTGCTTCACCTGCATTAGTCCTTTACTGACTCGGGTTACCATGGGGCTTAGCTCTGAGGCATTGGGGATGGAGTGGAGACAGCCCCTCCCTGAGCCAGAGAGGTCAGAGGCTGTCTTCACGCTGTCACGGTAGCCAGGCCTCAGCTGAGGCTGGGGAGAGGCAGGAGGGGGCCGGAGAGAGAGAGGTGCTCAGACAAAGACCAAGGACTGCTTGGCCCTGGCTCAGCAGTTTGCAGACTCAGAAGAGCAAAGTGTATCCGAGGTCAGGAGGCAGCTGAGGAGTCTGTGTGTGTTATTGGGGGTGCATTCCAAGTCAGGGCACAGTGTTGTGGAGGAAGCATGGATTTCAGGCCTGGAACTCTGACTGGGGACTCGGGCTGCAGACAGCATGTGAGTCTGCCCCCGGAGTGAGGTGCTTCAGAAAAGCTCTTTTTCTGACCCAGGACAGGAGGCGCGAACAGCAGGACCTGTGTCCTTGGACCCTGGGCTGGTGGCCACCTACACGGAGGTGGCCACCTTGATTCCAAGAGAGGCTGTGGGAGGGGCGTGGGTGGAGAGGCAGGGGGAGCCTGAGAAGTTTCCAGTGCTTGGCTTAAGCAAAACGTGAGGGCAACGAATTTACCCAAAGCAGGCTGTGGAGATAGACGACCTAATGAAAACGAGGTGAACTGAAGCAGGACGTGGCAGGGTCTCAAACAGACAGCGCCCTTCCCTCCTGTTGAAACCGGCTCTGCCTTTACCTCAGTGCTACCCCAACAGTAGGACACCTAAAGGGTCCGAGTGCTGGTCGGTCAGTGAAGGGTCTCCCTGGAGGTTCTGGGGGAGCCCCAAGCCTGCCGATCAGGCAGGCCCAGCTTCCTTTGGGATGCCCTCTCAGCACCCACTCTCCCTGAAGGCACCACCTGGGGCCATTTGCCAGTGGTGGTGCCCCCTGGGTGTCTTGTCTTGCCAAGTGCACTGGGCGGCAGACTCCCGGAGGGCAGATCCCTGCGGGGCCCTTCATTTGTATCTTTTGCTCACTTTCGGCCACTGCCCGCCTGACAGGAGCTTGTCAGGAAAAAGCCTGCTCCCCTTCTTCTCAAGGAGGTGGTTAACCCAGGGCTCGGGCCCTGAAAAGAGAGACCACTGGATAGCTAGCTGAAGGCAGGTGGTGCCAGAGCCAACCAAGTCACCTTCCTGAGAAACCAGAACAGTGCCAAAGGCAAGAGCTGAGAAAGCAGGTGACCTACGAAGAGAGAGGTGGAGCCCCGCCAGGCCCCTCAGAGCCTCCAAGATTGCATTGTGCTCTGGAGGGCCTGGAACCAAGGAGGACCCGGAGCCTGCCTCTAGGAAACGTGCTGCCCTGCTCTCTGCCTCCCTCTGCTCCCACCTCCCAGAAACTCCAACCCTGGCATTGGCATTAGTCCACTGGTCTTGGCTTTTCTATTCTGTGGTGCCAGTCAGGCAGCAGTGACAGCCAGATCACAGGACTGTGGCAGCTGGAGGTGGGAGCTGGCAGCCCCAGGAGACACTGAGGCACAGACAGGCAGCCTGGACCTGGAGGCTGGGCTGTGGGTGGGGACCGGGCTTGGGGACGATTGCCAAGTATGCCAGGTGGGGCTGCAGTGCATGTAGGGGCCAGCTACCTGGAGGTATCCATCAGGTCAGGCGCTCTTGCCCGGTTTGGTGCCTGGAGACAGCGCAGCATGACCATGCCTGGGGTGCAGGGGAGGCGGGAGGGAGCCAGGATCTCGAAGAACTGAGTCCCCGCGGTGAGACCGAGGCCTTGGGGAGAGCCTTCCCGTATGGGAGCAGGAGAGCAGACCAAACAGGACTTGGGGGTAAGGGAGGAGACCGGCCCGGCCCGGCCCGGCCCGGCCCAGGGGAGGCTGCCTCAGCTCACATGCAGACTGCAAGGAGCAACAGCTGGGCTCCACGCCGCCGCCCCAGCCGCGCGCTCCTGCCTATGCAACAAGTGTCACGTCTGCATCTTGGCACATCATCCCCAGTGGCCCGCGCCCCTAGACCGGCCGGCGGCCCCTAACTTTCCACGCGGGAGCCCTGCCCACCCGGCTCAGGTCAGTTCCCCCCAATGATCCACGAGGGGAGCGGGACGCGACTCCCCCCGATTCCCTGCAGCACGTGGGGCGCGGGGCGCGGGACCCGGGGCGCACTCCTGCGGCCCTGAGCTCCTCAGACTGCGAGGGGCGACCGGGAGGGGCCAGGCTCCGGGCGGGTGAGGCCCCAGGCCGAGCCGAGCCCCCCACTCCCCGAGAGGGAGCGGTGTCCGCGGCCGACGGGCCCCTGACCCCGGGCGCCCTGTCAGTGGGCGGCCCGGCGCGTGGCGGCTCCGGTACGGCTCGCGCGCGGTTCCTGGGAGGCGCAGAGTGGGTGAGCGTCTGGGCGGAGCGCGGGGGTTGCAGCGCGGACTAGCGGGAGGGCGCGCACTCACCTCCGCAAGCCGCGCTCAGGCAGAGCCAGAGCAGCAGGAGCGCTTGCACGCAGAGCCGCAGATTCATGCTGCTCCGCCGGCCGCCGCCGCGCGGCTCGGACCAGGGGGCGGGGGTGGGGGCGGAGAGGCCGGGGGCCGAGGGAGGCGCGAGCCGCGGCTCGGGCGGGCTGCAGGGCGCGGAGCTCGCGTGGCTCCGGGCCGCGAGACCGTGCGCCCCGAGCCGCGCCACGGGCTGGCCGGCCGCCGCCTCCTCTCTCCCGCAGCCTCCCTCTCCCGCCACGGGGCAGCGCCGCCCAGCTGGTCTCGGCGGCTCCGGGGGCGGCGGCGAGCCCGTTCCAAATGGCTGGCGGCTCGGCTGTGGCTCCAACGGCCCGGGGCTCAGGCTGCCAGCGGGAATGCGCCCCGCTCACTCCAGGGGCTGCATTTTGTAGCCTGTGGCTTGGCCGCGAGCCCACTTGGTCATGTGGTCATCGGGAGGGCTGGAGGGGGGGCCAGGAAGAGGGAGAGGGAGCGAGCCTCCCGCACCGCCCCCCTCCCGGCACGCACTCGGCAGCCCCAGCCAGGGCGCGAGAGGGAACCTCGAGGTGGCCCCACAACAAAGGCGGCGCGGCCGCTCTGACAGCCCACAAGCGGCTCCCCGGACAATGCCCGCCTGGCCGGGGGCCAGAGGGTTCTGGAGACCTGAAGGATTTCAAACCCAGGAAGCGTTTGGGGCGGTGGAGGGGCACACTTAACCCTTTGTCGCCACGCTTCCTTAACAGCTGTCAAGGAGCCGAGGCGCTGCCCCCACTCGCCCCCTCTACCCCTGACTCGGTCCATCCGCACGGCCACCCCGCAGCTCTAAGGACTTAGCCGAGATCCTCAGGCACTGGCCCGCCTCTCAACTCTGTGTCTTCAGCTGGGTTTGAATTGTGCCCGGTGCCCCCATTTCTCCTACTATCCCTCCAGGATGCACCCTCTAACTGGAATGCCCCCACCCCATCCTTCCACTTCTCATTCAGAAGACTTGCCAGGATAAAGGATAATCCAGAAGAGGCTGCCCCGGTTCCTCTTCGTCCTTGGGACATGCAACAGCTCCTAAGAGAGGGCATCTGCTCTCTAGTTCCCCATTATCACAACAAGGGACCGTTTACTGACTCCAGACAGCCTAGGCTGGACTCATTTTGCATGTACTTGGGACTCCCCTCTGAAAGTGGGTCCCGAAGTTGTTTGCCTTCCCAGTCTAGACTGTCCCTTCCTACAACCTGGGAGCTCCCAAGACAAGGAACTGCCTTTCACTGCCCTGGGAACCCCCTAAGATAGGACCTTGTCTTCTCATCCTTCTGCATCTCTCCAAAGTCCCCAATATCGGTCTCTGCACATAGGTGGCACTCAACACTTGTTAAAAGACTAAATTGAAAGGTGTTTCCACATTTCAGCTGGCCAAGCAGTTTGCTTGAAGGGCAAGTCCAGATTTACACAAAAAACACCTTGAACTGTGTATGTGTGTGACATTGAAGATGTAAGAGACCACTGTAGATTTAACATTTTTTGAAATATTAATCCAGTGTACGCCCAATTTTTTAGGAGTTTCTGTCCACAGTAATTGTCAACTCTGGAGTGTGGGTCTCTGCTTTATTCACAGGTGCATTCCCAGGCCTAAAACAATGGCTGGGGCATGGTTGGTGCTCCCTACATAATTTTGAATATATGAACGAACTTTTCAAAACGCTTCCTATTGCCTAAATCAAGGTAGTGAGAAGGGGATAATACAGGGTTCTTGTTCATAGCCTACGGCCAGATTGACCCCAGTCCAGTAGGAAAAAGGCAGAGACAGGAGAGGTAGAGGCGTCTTCACCTCTTCATCCGTGAGGCCCAGGCGGTGAGCAGTGGGCATTAGCAACGTGAGATCATTCCCCTTGAGCTGCCTCCTGGAAAGAGGCTTCCCCCTCCATGAGGAAAAACAGGGGACCTCTAGTTTTCACCCTCAACAGCTGCAGGGCCTTGCTGTTGTCACCTAAATTGACTGCATCTCGCGGGGATGATCATCTCCGTGCTACCCCCTTCAGGGTTGTTAGGGGATTGAATGAGATAATGTACCTAAAGGCACCCGTACAAATCCGAAATCAACCCTTGTGGGATGCTTTTTAGGAACCGTAATCCTCTAACCGCTGATGGAACTAGACCAGGCATTTGCGAATGAGCGCCCCCTTAAGTCCGTTCATGGAAGCGTTCATATTTAATTGCTCCTTAACCAGGGTGTGGATGGGCTATTTGCTAAGTGGTTAAGAGATGCTCTCTGCAATGCGATTGGCCCCAGTGACGTTTAAAATAAAATGAAAAATTCATTTCCCCGGTTGCACTGGCCACATGTCAATTGCTCAGTATCCACCTGTGGCTACAGGCTACTGAATTGGACGGCACAGAATAGAACCTTTCAACCGTTGCAGAAAGTTCTATTGGACAGTGCTGGGCTAGAGTAGCCCCATCATTCTTTCTTCTTCTTTCTTTCTTTCTTTATTTGGCTGTGCTGAGTGTTAATTGAGGTATGCGGGATCTACTTTCCTGCCCGGGGATCGGGAATCGGACCTGGGCCCCCAGAGTTGGGAGTTTGGAGTCCCAGCCACTGGACCACCAGGGAAGTCCCTCATTCTTTCTTCTATAATCCTTTTCCCCACCTTACTTTGTCTTCAAAATGCACAAGGGAACAACATAAAAAAGCAAAGCCAAATTCAAATTTAAGGCAAACAACTCTCAGTAAATAGAAGCTGCACTGTGCAGCTTGTGGGATCTCAGTGCCCTGACTAGGGATTGATCTCAGACCATCAGCAGTGAAAGTTTAGAGTCCCAACCACGGGAGCGCCAGGGAATTCCCAAGGCATGCATGGAAAGCAAGATTTAAAGAGCTGGCCACGTGGGAGAATTATGTTTTAATCTAATCCTTCTCTCCACTTCACTGAACTGCATCCATTTTTCAAGTCCTGGATCCACTATCGCATCTTTTTCCTTTCTTAGTCCTCTAGATCTCCTCTTTTTCCTTTCTCAGGCCGCTCTCGCCAACGGTAACTTTATCTTCTTCTTAACAGCTATGGCTATAACTTTCACTGGCAGTTACTTTGGCCTGCACTTTTGTATCTGCATACCATGTTCTGTGGGTCTGTGGAGAGGGTCCACCACTAGGATACCCCATTCCAGAACCAAGGCCTGTGAGGTAAGGGATGCAACTCAACTTAGGCACCCTGAAACCCCTGTGAGTTCCTGTATATTTTGTGGCTCAGTTGGTTAAAAGTCTGCCTGCAGTGCAGGAGACCTGGGTTCAATCCCTGGGTTGGGAAGACCCCCTGGAAAAGGGAAAGGCTATCCACTCCAGTATTCTGGCCTGGAGAATTCCATGGACTAAGTCCATGGGGTCACAAAGAGTTGGACATGACTGAGTGACTTTCACTATTCAAATAACTAATTTGCATACTTGTTTCCACCCACTAGACTTGAAGGTCATCAGCATGATAGCAACTCACACAGGGTGTGGCACAAAGTTGGCACTTGGAGGCAACTCGTTGGAGAAATAACTGACTGTTGGTAGAACTATGTGCTGTCTTTTGTTCGGAAGAGGATACTGTTGAGTTCATGTTAGCAGAATAAGTGTTTAAAGGTCTTTCTCCAAGGGTGGGGAGGAGGTGCAGGCTGCCATCCCCAGCTTCCTGCCCTGAGGCAGCAGCATTCTTGCAACTGGGGCTCAGGCCTGTAAGGAGGGGCAAGACTTGGTTTCCAATCAAATCAGTAAGTAAGTAAAGTCACTCAGTCGTGTCAGACTCTTTGCGACCCCATGGACTGTAGCCCGCCAGGCTCCTCTGTCCATGGGATTTTCCAGGCAAGAATACTGGAGTGGGTTGCCATTTCCATCTCCAGGGGATCTTCCCGACCCAGGGATCGAACCTGGGTCTCCAGCATTGGAGACAGACGCTTTACCGTCTGAGCCACCAGGGAAGCCCAATCAAGTTCAGGGGCAATTCTGAGGACCAGGGTAGAATCCAGTGTACTGTTGGGGACAGAGATGAGATAGTGGACCCCTGTGAAGCCAGCCTGTGACTCGTTGCCCTCATGGTGCACAAGCTGTTCCATTCTTCTTGGTGCCATTTGTATGTCTTCACCACCAGCCTCTGCTGCTTGATTGACTCCCTGTCCTCTGGGTTGCAGTGAGCAGTGTGGTGTATCATAAAGAACTCAGTTTCTGGAATTTCAAATGCCTGAATTCAAATCCTGATGCTCAGCCTCAACCCTTAGTTGTGTGACTTTGGGCAAGTTATTTAACCTCTCTGAGCTTAAGTGTCTTCAGTTAGTAAATGGGGGTAATAATAGTACCTACCTTGTTATGTTGGGAGATTAAACAAAATAATGCCTGTAAAGTACTTAGCACAGGCCCCAGCCACAGTAGTTGCTCAGTCAATGTTAGTTTTCTCCTTTTACTGATAAGAGCCCCCCACCCACCCATCTTTGGGCTCTGGCCTCTGACCTCTTGGAACTGATCAGGAAAGAACAGCTCAATCTTTGCCCTGTTCCATCCATACCTGTCTTCTTAGTATCCATGAGAACTGTTCACTCTCTTATTCCCCCAAAGCATCCATCTCTACTGGAGTTAATCTGATGAATACACTTGATCCAGGAAGTTAATGCATGATAGGAATTTGAGGTTTGCCTCCCAGGTATGGTATTATGATAGTAGTCCAGTGAAGTATGTCCTATTCCGCAGAGTAGTATCAAGCTTCACCTTTCAAGCAAGGAGATATTCTCGTGACTTTGGCTCAAAAAAGACACTGCACTTCACTGTGGTGTGCGGGCTTCTTTCGTTGCTGAGTGTGGGCTCTAGGCGCGCAGGCTCAATAGTTGTGGCACACAGGTTAAGTTGTTTCATTTGACTGCTCTATATAGAGCTCCAGCTTCCCTCATAGCTCAGTTGGTAAAGAATCTGCCTGCAGTGCAGGAGACTGGGTTCAATTCCTGGGTCAGGAAGATCCCCTGGAGAAGGAAATGGCAACCCACCCCAGTATTTTTTCTTGGAGAATCCCATGGACAGAGGAGCCTGGCAGG